ATAGGAAGGAAGTCGACCGTTGATTAATTGTTCACCAATCCAACCTCTTTTCCCATCTTTTATTTCTTATCTCTTACAACTGGTCATTTTTTATTTTGTCACGATCAAATCCATCGGGTCAAACCACCCTATCCTAATACTCAACTCGAATCAGTCAAGTTGGTTCATACGAGCCACCCGTAAGTCGGGCCCAACAAAATAACTTCACAATTTATTTCAAAAAGGTGACTAAATACTGTTTAAATAATAAGATTAGAGATTTTGTAGATGAGTTACGTTTTTACAATCTATTCTTTATTCCGTTGTTTAATTAAATTTATAATTGTCTGAACATCACATTAGTGTATTTATCTCAACTTGCTTCTATTGTTTCTATTCATCTTTAATAATAATAATTTTTTTTTTTTGATATACGTATTTCATAATGAATGACGTAAAGCAAAATTTTTAATGGTAGATGAAGGGGCGACTTTATTAAATTATGTAAAAGTGACTTGTCTAAATTATATGTTTGTGTGAAAAGAAAATAAAAACTAGTATATAATGAAAAATAATTTAAACGAAAAATGAAGGAAATTTGTATTTGGTCAGAGAAGTGAAGGAGTGGGCAGGAAATTCGTTTAAAACGCTCTTTTTAAAAACGAAGCAAAGGAGGTGGCGCCGACATCTCTCTATGCATTCAATTAAATACTGTTATAAAGTTGAACGTCAAATATGAACCCTATTAAATACTAATATAAAGCTCGTCTACAAGTCTGCGTTTAACTAATTTTTTATAAATTAATAGTTAATTTTTTTTTATTGAAAAACACTTTGTCCTCTTTCTTAATATACAGTTAATTAATAGTCCATTTAAAAAAAAAGATACATTTCTCTTTTTTAGTTGTCAAATATTTAATGGTGAGAAAACAAGGTTCTTCTTCATCATTAAGGGGCCAAATATTTTTTTCTTTCTATTCATCAATAATATGATGAAAATACATGAACAATATGACATGATTCTTACAATTTTTTTTTTTAGTTCAACCATATGTGGGTGAGCATTTAAACCTCCAATTTTTTTTAATCAAAGAGATTTAACTTGTCGTCGTTGTTAGAATACAACTCAATAGGCTAAGTTTAATTAACTTTACATTAGAGACATTTTTATAAATAGCATGATCACCAACTGAAATATAGTTTCAATGGATTAAGGCACATGTGTTAAATAAAAAGTCGTGAGTTTGAACTTTGAACATTCGCTCTTATATGTTATTAAAAATATAATAATAATAAAATAAATAGCATCATATAAATATTTTTTTTCAAATAAATTTTAGAAAAGAATAACACAATTCAATTCAAATCCAATATAAACGCACATACTTATGGTATGTAGTGTAATTATTCATCCTGTGATTTGTCCAAAAGAAAAGAAAATTAAAAAAAGTCAAAAAAAAAATTTACGTTTTGAAATTTTGATAGACTATTAGAAAATATAATGGTATGGTAGACTGTATTTATACCTAAATTCTGTTCCAGCCCTATAATTTCCTTTCCTGCCCTTTTCTCTCTCGTTCCCGAACCATCCCATAATATCTGATCTGGGCCGCAGATCCCTTGTACGCGCAAAATGGGCCGAACAGAATTTCAGTATACTATTAAGAAATGGACCCAATAAGTGAAGCCCAACTATTTTATAATGGGCCGAAGTCCAGTAAAATGAGGATCATCATTCTCGTGATGGGGACTGTAAAATTGCAACGAGACCTACTTTAGGCATGATTGATTACATAGCAAGGTGGGTGTCTCATCCCTCAGAAATACTCAATTCTGCCCACGTTCAAAGGAGGGCAGCCAGTGGTCGAGGACCCGACCACTTCAATCCGATCA